TGCTGAAAACTTCCCCAATCTGAGGAAAGAAATAGACGCCCAGGTCACAGAAGCACAAAGAGCCCCTAACACAAGGAACCCCAGGAAGACAACGCCAAGACATACGATTAAAATGAAAAAGATTAAGGGTAAAGAGACAGTACTGGAAGTAGCAAGAGAGAGGCAGACAGGTACATACAAGGGGAATCCCATAAGGCTATCAGCAGATTTCTCAGCAGAAACATTACTTTCCAGAAAGGAATGGTCTCCTCTAAAATATTTAATGTATTGAAACAGAAAAACCTTCAACCAAAAATCCACTACCCAGGAATGTTATCACTCAGAATAGAAGGAGAGATTGAAAGTTTCCCAGATAAATCAAAGTTAGAAGAATTCACCACCACTACATCGAGCTTACAGGATATGTTAAAGAGACTTCTATAGATGGAAATGTTCTTCAGCCTCAGTATTTTTCATCAGTGAAAATAAACCCACATTAAAAATAGGAGACCAATTACTTACCAAGCAAGTATGAAGTTTAAAAAAAAGTAGTAAAATCAACTATATACAAAACCAATCAAGGGATACAGAAAAAATGCACATTATGACATCTAATACATAAAACATGGAGGAGGAGGAAGAACAAAAAAGAAGTACTTTTAGATTGTGTTTCAAGTAGAGCAACCATTAACATAATATAGACTGTTACATATTTAGGAAACTATCAATGAACCTTATGGTAAGCATAGCCTAAAGCCTATAACATACACTCAAAAAATTTGAGAAATCCAATCACAACACTGAAGAAAACCATCAATAACAAGAAGCGTATAAGAGAAGGAAGACAGGATCACAGAGGAACTATAAAAACAACCAGAAAACAATGAATAAAGTGGCAAGTACATACCTATCAATAACTACCTTAAATGTAAGTGGACAGAATGCACCAATCAAAAGAAACAGGGTAGCAGAATGGATAAAGAAACAAGACCCATTCCATATACTGCCTACAAGAGACTCATTAAATACCTAGACACATACAGATTGAAAGTGAAGGGATGGAAAAGATATTTCATGCAATAAAGAGAAAAAAGCAGCAGCCATACTAATATCCAACAAAATAGACTTCAAAACAAAGAAAGTAAAAGCACACAAGGAAGGACATTCCATAATGATAAAGAGATCAGTCCAATAAGAAAATATAACCATTATAAATACCTATGCACCCAACGTAGTAGCACCTAAATATTTAAAACAATACTAACAGAACTAAAGGGAGAAATAGACTACAACTCAATTGTATTAAGGAACTTTAACATACCACTTACATCAATAGACAGATCAACCAGACAGAAAATAAATAAGGAAACAGAGGCACTATACAACAAAACAGATCAGTTGGACTGACCAAATATATACAGAAAAGCAGCATGATATGTATTTTTCTCAAGTGTACATGGAATGTTCTCCGGAACAGATCACATATTAGGACACAAAAAGAGCTTCAGTAAATTTAATAAAACTGAAATTGTATCAAGAATCTTAACAGATCACAGTGGTATGAAACTAGAAATAAATTACACAAAGAAAACAAAAAAGCCCACAAACACATGGAGACTAAATATGCTTCTAAATAATCAATGAACCAATGAACAAATCAAAGAAGAAATCAAGCAATACACAGGAAAAATGGAAACAAAAACACAACAGTTCAAAATATGTGGGATGCCACAAAGGCGATTCTAAGAGGGAACTACACAATAATACAGGCCTACCTCAAGAAACAAGAGCAATCCCAAGTAGTCTAAACTCACAACTAAAGAAACTAGAAAAAGAAGAACAAACAAAACCAAGAGTTAGTAGAAGGAGGGACATAATAAAGTTCAAAGCAAATAAATAAAATACAGAAGAAAAAAACAATGAAACAGAGAGCTGATTCTTTAAGAAGATAAACAGAATAGACAAACCTTTAGCCAGATATATCAACACAAAAAGAGGGCATAATTCAACAAAATCGGAAGCAAAAAAAAAAGAACAGTTACAACTAACACCATAGAAATACAAAGAATTATTAGAGAATTCTATGAAAAATTTTATGCCAACAAATGGGACAACCTAAAAGAAATAGACAAATTCTTAGAAAAGTACAAACTTTCAAGACTGTTCCAGTAAGGAGCAGAAAATCTGAACAGACCATGTACCAATAACAAAATTGAAATGGTAATCAAAAACCTCCCAACAAACAAAAGTGCAGAATCAGATGGCTTCACAATGAATTCTACTCAATTCTTAAAGACGAGCAAATACCCATCCTTCTTAATGTATTCCAAAAAGTAGAAGAGGAAGGATAAAACTTGCAAACTCATTCTATGAGCCTGGCGTCACTCTAATACCAAAAACAGACAAAGGCAATTAAAAAAAGAAAATTATAGACTAATGAATATAGATATAAAAATGCTCAACAAAATATTGGCAAAAAAATTTTTAAAAAACATCAAAAAGATCTTTTATCTGACCAAGTGGGATTTATTCCAGGGATACAAGGATGGTACACTATATGTAAATCAATCAATATCATACATCACATTAACAAAAAGAAAGACTAAAAACCACATGATCATCTCAATAGATGCTGAAAAATCATTTGACAAAATTCAACATCCATTCATGATAAAAACTCTCAAAAAAATGGGTACACAGGGCAAGTACCTCAACATAATAAAGGCCATTTATGACAAAGCCACAGCCAACATCATACTTAACAGCAAAAAGCAAAAAGCTTTTCCGCTAAGATGGGAAACATGACAAGGATGCCCAGTCTCCCCACTTTTATTCAACAGAGTACTGGAGGTCCTAGCCACGGCAATCAGACAACACAAAGATAAAAGGCATCCAATTTGGTAAGGCATCCAACTGCAACTATTTGCAGACAACATATTATACATAGAAAACCCTGAAGACTCCACCAAAAAACTATTAGAACTAATAACTGAATTCAGCAAAGTGGCAGGATATAAAATTAATACACAGAAATCTGTCTCATATATTCTTATATACTAAAACAAACTTATATACTAAAAACAAACTAAAAGAATGAGAAATCAAGAAAACAATTCCATTTACAATTGCATCAAAAAGAAGAAAATACCTAGGAATAAACAGAACCAAGGAGAAAGACCTGTACTCTGAAAATTTTAAGACACTCATGAGAGAAATTAAAGACACCAATAAATGGAAATCTATTCCATGATCATGGATAGGAAGAATTAATATTGTCAAAATGGCTATCTTACCCAGAGCAATTTACAAATTCAATGCAATCCCTATCAAAATACCAATGGCATTTTTCAAGGAACTAGAGCAAATAATCTTAAAATTCATGTGGAACCACAAAAGACACCAAACAGTCAAAGAAATCCTGAGAAAGAACAAAACTGAGGGCATTATGCTCCCTGACTTCAAGCTATACTACAAACCTAAAGTAATCAAAACAGTATATTAGGGGTAGAAGAATAAACCCATAGATTAATGGAACAGAATAGAGAGCCAGAACTATAAACCTATGCATACATGGTCAATTAATATACAATGAAGGAGCCACAAACATACAATGGGGAAAAGACAGTCTCTTTATTAACTGGTATTGGGAAAACTGGAAAACTACACACAAGAGAATGAAACTGGACTGCTGTCTATCCCTACACACAAGCAAACTCAAAATGGATTAAAGACCTAAATGTAAAACATGAAACCATAACTCTTAGAAGAAAACATAGGCAAAAATCTCTTGAACACAAAGCATGAGTAATTTTTTTCTGGACACATCTCCCCACACAATGGAAACAAAACCAAAAATGAACAAGTGGGACTACATTAAACTAAAAAGCTTCTGTAGAGCAAAGGATACCATCAACAGAACGAAAAGGTAACCTGGAGTGTGAGAGAATATATTTATAAACAATTTACCCCATAAGGGGTTGACATTCAAAATATATAAATAACACAAAAAAAACTAATAACTCAATTAAAAAATGGACAGATGACCTGAACAAGCTCTTTTCCCCAGCAGAAATACAGGTGGCCAACAGGTACATGAAAAGATGGTCCACATCACTTATTGTTGGGGTAATGCAAATCAAAACCAAAATGACATATCACCTCACACCAGTTAGAATGGCCACTATCCAAAAGACAAGAAATAACAAGTGTTGGTGAGAATGAGGAGAAATGGGAACACTCCTACACTGTTGGTGGAAATGTAAAGTGGTGCAGACACTGTAGAAAGCAGTACAGAGGTCCCTCAAAAAATGAAAGCAGAAATACCATATGACCCAGTAATTCCACTTCTGGAATTTACCTGAAGAGAACAAAATCCCTGATTCTAAATGATACATATACCCCTAATAATTTTTTTGCCGCATTATTTACATTAACCAAGACCTAGAAGCAAATAAAGTGGCCATCAACATATGAATGGATAAAGAAGATATGATACATATACACAAAGGAATATTAATCAGGCATAAAAAAAGAAAGGAATCCTGCCATTTGCAACAACATGGATGGACCTAGAGGGTATTATGCTAAATGAAATAGCCCAGGCAAACAAAGACAAAAACCGTAAGATTTCACTTATCTGTGGAATCTAAAAACAACAAAGTGAGTAAAATAGCAGTGTATTCACAGACAGTGAAAAGTGGTGATTACCATGCAGGAAGGTTTAGGGTGGGTGAGTAGGGAGGTTGAGGGAGATAAAGGGGCACAAAAATTCTCAATCATAATGTAAGTTGGTCACAGGGATGGAGGTACAGGATAGAGAATACAGTTAATGATTCTGTAACATCTTCCTGTGTTGACAAATAGTAACTGCACTAGTGGTGGTGAGGATTTAATAATGTCTGTAACTGATGATGAACCACTTGAAAGCAATATAAGTGTATATCAACTATGCTTCAATAAAAAAATCAAATACATTAAAAAGCTTAAAAATGACTTTGGTAAAGTACACAGGTAAGCCTCACCCACAGTCAGACAAATTTGCAACACATGCACTGCTCCTTCCTGTTTCAGAAAGTTCATAAAACGAAATAAGAGATCTTGTTGCTCTCGGATTTGCTTCAATTCTAATTTCAGCACCTTGACACAATATAAGAGGAAGAGTACATTAACGCTCTATAAATATGTGATAAAATTGTTTATGTCAAAAGTAATATATCATTGCTATAATACTTACAGATGGCTTTTTATTTCTAGGTTCTGCAAACTTTTGCAAGAATGGAACCAAAGGGGATGGTGGTTCAGTTGCTTTTTCAGGCTTTGAAGAAGGAGAATTAAGTAATTCAATAAAACTGTCATTTGAGTTGACAGATATGAATCAAAATTAATGCAATCTGAAGTGTTTTCTAGTATGTTCAATACTCACTGGACTGTCATCTATGAAGATTATAAGCAAATGATTCACAGTATCCTAATGGAAAATAATAAACATAGGTCAAAATAATCCCATTACTATATTGTCCCCAGAATTCACAAAGCTTTTACCATATTATGGAAGTTTCTAGAAAAATGAAGAAACAAAGCAATGGAAGTGGATTTGCATTAGGTAATACAGAAGGACTTTTAAAAATCTGTAATGCAGGGTCTCACCTTTTGTGAAGATGGGAAAAGAAAAATCACTCTGCTTTTGGATTTAAAACATTTATACATTATTCCTGTTTCTTCAAATTCTTACTGGATCAAAAGTAAAGGCAACTCAAGTGTCCATCAATGGATGAATGAATAAGCAAAATGTGGTATATATCTACAATGGAATATTATTCACCTTGAAAAGGAAGGAAATTCTAATATATGCTACAATGTGGATGAACTTTGGTGACGTTATACTAAGTGAAATAGAAGCCAGTCACAAAAAAACCAAATACTGCATGATTCCACTTATATGAGCTACCTACAGTACTCAAATTCATAGACAGGAAGTACAGTGGTGGTTGCCAGGGGCTAGAAAGAAGAAAGAATGGAGAATTATTGTTTAATGGGTATAGAGCTTCAGTTACATAATATGAAAAGAGTTCTAAAGATGGGTAGTGGTGATGGTTGCTCAATAACATGAATGTACCTTAACACCACTGAACTGTACATATAAAAATACTTAAGACAGTAACTTGTATATTATATGCATTTTACCATAATTAAAGAAAATTATTTTTAAAATCTTACTGGATCAGCTAGAAAATCCAAAGAAGGAAGGAACACTGAGCCAGACAGGATCTCTCTTAAAAGTAAAGTCAGGGATCTGTAAAAAGAAACAATATTGTATAGTTAGTGATTTATATCACTTCTTATCTGAGGCTTTTATTAAAATGCAGACTATGATATCAGGAGGCCTAAGGTATGCCCCAAGATTCTACATTTATAAACAAGCTCCCAGGTAATGCTCATGCTACTGGTTCACAGGCTACACTTGGGAGTCCTTAATTGGCTAAAAGACAATACTATTCAAGAGAGATAAAGCATTTCCTTAGCAGGAGGGACTTGGGTGACCATTAGAAAATACTTCCCACCTCAGAATATTTTAAACGTTTGATATATTTTTAAATTAGTGTTTAAAACTAATGTGTTTAACAGTATAATGACTTAGTTATTATTTGATATTAATATAATATTTAAATTAATGTAATTTGTTTAAAATTAAGATTTTAAGCTTTAAGGTATTTAAAATGTTTATAAATAATTTTAAATAATATTCCAAGCACATCACTAAAAATAAGCCATGGTTTTTTCTCTATGGATTATTAGAATAAGAGTAATGAGGTAACTTTATGGAATGATCTAAACATGCTCCTGCCAGAAAAAGGGAGGATAGACTATGTGAACACTTAATTATTCTTCCCAGTGACCTAAGCTTGTCTGTATAGTTTGCTCAAAGTGTTTCTGCCAGGGCATCAAAATGTGAATATCTCTCAAAAGGAACACCAAGGAAGTAACAAAATATAATGCTCTCAATAGGAAAATTAACTTTATTCATATTTATCTTGATTGCCCAAGATCAATTCTAAGAAGTTCCAAGCAACACAATACATCATGAATACTTAGCACCTAAAATAACATTTTAAGACTGGACAAATTATATTTCTTAAAAAATTAATCACATCATAGGCTAAATCTCAGGTTTTAGTGTACTTCTATTATGATCAAGTAGAGTAATATATATATGGGCCAATATGCAAATACTGCTACAAAATTTTTCAGACTATTTATACCTGCAGTCTGTTGCTTTAGGAGGCAAAATATAAGGAAAAAGCAGTTCAGTAAGTTTCCTTAAATAGTGTAATTCATCTCTTCGACTCCTCAAAGCCACATGAAGCTCTGGACCATATTCTTCTAAAGCAGCTTGCTGTAAAAACTCTGTATTTTCTACTATGGAAATAAAAAATAAATATTGAAAGAAGTTAAACAACATTAAATAACTTCAGTCACTTCCACTAACAAACAGAAATTTATTTAATGTATTCATTCTTTTCCTAGCCCTCCTTTCTTTCCAAGTATTCTGAAAGTGATTTTCCTCTTTGCTAGAATTTAATTTTGTAATAAATTAATAAAAATACCCTTTCCCCCTTGGCAAGTGACTTTTTAAGATTATGTCACTACTTTACAAATTAAAAAAAAAAAACTTTTTTAAAAAGTGAACAAAAACTATAGAGAACATCTAGCACATACAAAGCTTTTGTTATCAAATATTACATCTTGTTAATCCTCCACAAATACAAAAAAAAAAAACCTTAGAATTCTTTGTTGTCTTTGCTGTCACATCAAAATCATTCAGATAGCCTTTTAAAGCAATCAGGGTATAGAAATTGGCTTCCTTGGTTAAGTTCTGTATCTTCTGCCCAGAGCATAGGGCACAGAGGTACAGAGCTGTTTAAGGTGGAAGTCTATGAACAGATAATTACATAATCTAACGATACTAATGATAAAGTTATAGTAACAAAATTTTCTTAAAGGGCCAAGCACTAAACTAGTATTCTAAAATATAAAAGTAAAATTACTTCCACTCATTTTTTTTATTAAGGTATCATTGATAGACACTCTTATGAAGGTATCATAAGAAAACAATGTGGTTATTACATTCACCCTTATTTGCCACTCCTTTTTTATAGAACTCAGAAGACTAGGAGAAAAACAATTCATGCTTTCCCCCCTCTGCAGTCTGTGCCACATTTTAAAATAATTGAGTCTACAAAGGGAATCCTAACTCTAATTCAATGGCATTTATTTTTGACTACTTAATTCTATTTTATTTAAAGAGAATACAAGCACTTTTACTAAAAAAAGCCAATACATGCATTGTAATGGTTTGAGTACTAAGATGGTAAATGAAAGCTAATATGCCCCTAAGGTACAAAAGAAGAATTGGCAAAGAGGGATCTCTGTTTTATAAGAAATGTGTTTTATTATATAATTATGCAATTATTTGCTAAGCATTTTTCCCCCAAGAAACTGGAGCACAGGTCTTTTAAAGATTTCTATCACAAGCAGACATTTAAAATAAGAAGACTAAGCTACTCTAAATCCCAGCTCTTCTTTACTAACTGGTATGATCTTGAACAAATTATATAAACTCCTTGAGCCTCAGTTTGCACATCAGTAAATAGTTCTTAAATTTACTAATAAATTTAATCTGAAAAGTTACCATGTAAAATGCATAAAAACTATATTTGGTATGATTAAGCATTCACACATAATACGTAAGTTAAATCACTAGACTGGAATCTACTCAATGTCTCTCAGATTTGAGAGATTTTTGTAGTCACAGGTATTAAGAAAATAAAGGAGTCAGGCAAAATATAAAAAGAATATAGTGGGGGGATAGCCTGAAATGGGAATCTAATCAAAATACAGATGCTAGAAAACAGGGCATGGATTAATCCCTACTAACTACCTAATTATTCAGCAGTTTTCAGAACACTCCAGAATCCAAGAAAGAGAGATATCTAGGGATTAAAAATGGAGTATGCTCCTTCTGCACAAGTATTACTGAATTTACATTAAACAAATACTTCTCATATATATGTGTGTTTAACATTCCTAAGGACCACGTAAGTTCAGACATAGACAGAAAACATCTATATAATCCTACTCTCAAGAGGCAAATTACCAAGAGAACACCAAGACAATAAAGATGAGCATAGATAAAGAAGTAAACATTTAAATTTCCTGAGTTATGCGTAATTTTGATGCCAAAGAACTCAGAAAAAACAAATTTTGTGCACTAAAGAAAGCAAAAATCAAAAATCAAAAAAAGATATTTTACAAGTCTATATCTAGTTCACTGTTGTAATATTTAGGACACTAGAACCTTTGGATAAAATAAGTCTTTCTAAATCTCTGGCTTTTTAATTCTATGGATTTAATTAATTACAATGCTACTTATAAATCCAATCTAACATTTTATGGCGATTTTATAATTGAGGACAATTTTTTACATAAATAGTAGCAAATTAGCAACCCCTCTCTTGCAAAGACTCAACAATAAATTTCAAACTGGTCTGTCTGTATATATAACATCACTTTCATAGAGATAAAATAATCTTGGACGTCACTAAACTGATCAGTTAAACTAAAAAAAAAAGATGACTCTATTTACTCATAGTCCGAGTTCAAAGTGTCTTTAGAACAAAATACTGTATTAATAACTATGCTCCCCATACAAAAACCTGCACATACATGCTTACAGCAATTTTATTCATAATGGCAAAAACTTAGAAAACAAACAAAATGTCCTTCAATAGGTAAATGGATAAACAAATTGTGGTATATCTATATAATAGAACATAAATGAGCAATAAAAAGAAATGAGCTATCAAGCCATGAAAAGATATGGAGTAGCCTTAAATGTACATTTCTAAATGAAAAGGCTATAGTAAGGTATCAACTATATGACATTCTGAAAGAGGCAAAACTGTAAGAGACAGTAAAAAAGATCAATGGCTGCCAGTGATTCATAAAATAAGGAAGGAGGGAGAGATAGGTGAAACACAGGGGATTTTTAGGGCAATCAAATTATTCAGTATGACACTGATGGATACATGGCATTATGCTTTTGTCAAAACCCACACAATGTCCAATACAAAAAATTAACCCTAATGCAAACTGTCAACTTTAGTTAATAATAATGTATCAATATTGGTATACTGACTGTAACAAATGTACCAATAATGTAATATGTTAATAATGGGAGAAATGTGAGATATATGGGACTTCTCCATATTTTCTGCCCTATTATTTGTGAACTTAAAACTCCTCTATAAAGAATAAAATTTACTAGTAAAAAAAACCCCACTTTACCTATATTTTTTTTCTGACAGTAAACTAGCCTTAACAAACTGGTTACAACATTACTATTTTCTAGTGTTTTTGCCAGTGACAGAAAATTGATTTTAAGTTAATTTTTAATTTAAAAATTAAATTATACATATTCAAACTCTTCCGCTTTTAACTAATGTTGAAGGTACTACTGTTTTTACTTGTTAAAAATCAGATAAACACAGACAAAAATTTAAATGTATAATTTAAACTGCTTCTCTTAGCTGAGAATTTATTCATTCCAGAGGACAAGGAAACTAATCATTTGATTTGATTTAGCTTTAGCTCTACCTGGAACATAATTTCCACAAATACACTCTGATTATATTAATTGATGTTATGAAGGAGGGAAAGCTGGTCCATGCTCAAATGAGTTTGGGATGTGCTGGGTTAAACAAAATTAAAGCTATTTCTTTGCTGCAGGACTGAATAATCAGAGATTTTGGTATGCTAGTAGTTACTGGGAATCTTTAGAAGGGGAATACAATATGTAGAAATTACCATAAAATATGACTATGAAACTTCTTCTGCATGCTCTGCACATAAAGTAGTATCCTGCAGACCACACGTGGGAAAACAATGACAAAGAATACCAAATGCAAATACAGGAATCTCAGTTTCGCAAAGAACCAAGTATATAGCATAGAAATAACATTAAAAAGAACGTCAGTTTGACCTAAGAGCAAGAAAAGCCCCAAATTTAGAGTTCATTCATTCAATCAGAAAACTTCTGCTGAACACATGCTAAATGTAAATCATGACAGTATAAAGGCCAAGACACACATGAGAAGTTGCCAATAGCTCATCCTGGCTAAAGCATAATACATAGTCAAAGAAAAGGGTACATCAAAATATTTGACTAGATAGGAAAGAGTTTAAATATAAGTTGAGACTCTATAGCAGATCACTACAAAAATTCTTAGAAGGGACATAACATATGAAAATTGTGGCATCATGAAATTAACATGTTATCAGTATAAAGGATGGGCTAGAATATGCCAAAACAGTTGAAATCTTTAAGGAGAAAGGGAGAAGAGATATAAGAGATACGTCAAAGAAAGTAATGAAGCCAACAGACTGTTCATTCAAATAAAAGATGAGAATCATCAATATCTAAAAGTTAACTATTTTAATATTCACAGACTGAGTTTTCATAATCATTTATATAATTAACAAATTACTGAAAAGGATTTCAATTTAATTTAAAAGAATATTCTCACAGCATTTGTGAATTAATTAATGCATCAGTATTTATACTTGGGTATTTAGGGTGAACATTAGTGTATAAAAACAATCACTCAAACTTTGTAGTAGAAAACTGTTATTACCTTTCTGACTGGCTTTGACTATCACTTCTATATGCTTCATTGCTGCTTTTAATAGTTTCTTGGTTATAACAGATGGGATATCCACCTAGAAAAATTCAACATTAAAATAAAACTTTTAAAATAATTATCACTAAGCTACAATGGCAGGAACACTATATTTACAATATTGGAACATTTGATCTTAAAAATGAGAGGTATTATTTGAAATCTTTTGAAAATATAATTTAAAAGCACTTTATATTCTTGGATCATTTTAACTACATCTTTAGACAGTTTTTCTAACAGTAATGAAAATATATCTTAATATGCATTGATACACACACTAAATTTTTCTCAGAAAATAGTATCCTTACTCTTACTTTTTAGTGTGTTTGTTTTAAATTTATTCAAAGAAAAATCTCAAGTACTTTATCATCCCTGTGAGGTTGTAAATTTGTGCTTACTAAAGTTACTTGAAAATGAATTTTTCCATTCAGCTTACAAGATAAATCCTGGTCCCAAGATATATGGAAGCATATTTTGGAATAACACAGTTTCATCATTCCTCACAGACACTTTTCAACTTAAAGGCTGGAAACTGTAGTGACTATAGTCGATTAGTGAGAAAGGGTTGAGGACTTATATGTACAAACATATAAGAGACAAAAAAATAACTAAAAACAAACTGTAAATAAAATAAGTCACCAAAAATCATGTTTACTGGACTTCAACCAGCATAGTCTTCTACCACAAAACTCAGCACACTGTATTTTTCCTTCATCAAAGACATGAGAAAACTGTATAATAATAGTGTTGTTTTGTGTTAACTGTTCAATTCTTTTTAAATTTTGCAATAAGGAAGAAATAATCACAGGCTAATGACATAATAAAAGTGGTAGATCATAAATCTCCAAATTTTTATAGTAAAACCTATAGCAGTTTACAGATATCTATGGCTGTGTAGGATCAAACATGTTCAATTAGAATAGATATTTTTTGCTAGAAGTATGCCTCGTTGCAAAATAACATTATTCTTCATTTATCCCTAGCCTCTTGTTACCCAATGATTATAAATTATTTTCACATTTATCAAATGTTTTCATTTTCAAACATTTTATTAAATCTTGTTGTCTGAGAATGCTCATGAAAATTTTAATTTTTTTTCAAGGGTTTTTTGTTTGTTTTATTTATTTATTTATTTTTAATTTTGTTATCATTAATCTACAATTACATGAAGAACATTATGTTTATTAGGCTCTCCCCTACCCCAAGTCCCGCCCACAAACCCCATTACATTCACTGTCCATCAGCATAGTAAGTTCCACTTTAAGACTTCAGAATCAAAATGGCAAAATAATGGGTTTGTCACTAAACCTTGATTTAAAAAAAAAAACTATAGACTTTAATTATTTGTTTTCATTTTCCCTGAACAGCCAATTTACATTATTCAGGCAATGGTATCAAAGACAGAATAATGTACTAGGATAAGATGACCTAATCCTTTGCCCATCTGACACTTTGACAAAGCTACTAACTTTCTATAAAATGGGTATGATAATGACCCATTTATCTCCCAGGATAGTGATGCAGATAAAATGAAAAGAAAGAACATACAGCATAACAATCCAGAAAATGGAAGAAAACAAATTTTGCAAGTCATATATCTGATAAAGGACTTGTATCCAGGATATATAATGAATGCTCACAACTCAATTATAAAAAGACTAAAGTTCCTCAATAAGTTAAACACGGAGTTACTATTTCACCCAGCAATTATACTCCTAGGTATATACCCAAGAGTAATGAAAACATATCCCACCAAAAATCCTTATACACAAATGCTGTTAGAGCATTAGTCATAATAGCTGAAAAGCAGAAAAAATCCAAATATCCATCAACTGATGGATGGATAAATAAAATGTGGCATATCCATACGATGGAATATTTATTCACATATAAAAAAGAATGAAATACCAATACATGCCACAACATGACAACATGAATGAACTTGAAAACCATAAGCTAAATGAGAATGACCAGTCACAAAAGGCTATAGATTATATGATTCCATTTATATGAAATGTCCAGAAAAGACAAATCTGCAGAGACAAAAAGTAGACTGGTGGTTGGCTAAGGCTAAGAGGATGAGGGAGTGGGTGGTTATGGGTGGTAAAAATGTTCTAAATTGATTGTGGTGATGGTTGTAGAACTCTGGGAATATGCTAAAAACCACTGAATTATACATTTTAAATGGGTGAATTGTATGATATGTAAAGTATATCTCAAAACTGCCACCAAAAACAAATAAATAAATATATATATAGCACACTCCATGTATTAGGTGCTATATTTAAATCCACTAGACTATCTCAAAGCCTAACATAACAGAGCTGTTCTACTACTAATTCTTATAGATGAATTTACTATAATGAGTCACCTTTTTGATCAATTTATTTGATTTAACCTAAGTTGCAATTTAAATTGTTTATCATCAATGAATTAATATTTCTTACTAAACCTTTATGCCACTTACATGATCTTTATGCCTTGTCAATGTACTATGAAATAATGCTCCCAGAACCTTTTTAAAAACACGATTGTTTAAACTTTTTTCTATTTATAACAATAGTAAATACTCAATATAAAAAAAAAGTGAACAGAAAAAATTCATGGAAAGAAGCATCAGCCCACTACAATAAGTGCTAACAGGGTAAGAATATACTATGCCCTTAATATACATATTAACAAGCTTTAGTATGTGAGTTTAGTTTTCAAAGTGGAAAAATACCACATATATTATTTTTCATCCTCTTCCACTTGATTATGTAAGATGAATAATTTCTCATGTAAATTAGTACTATTCTACAAAATTATTTTTCACAGCTGCATAGGATCCTATGGTTGGCATGTGTTATATTTAATCAACCAACAGTCCTATCATTGGACATCATTTTCTTTTGTTGTCCTTATTACAAATTACACTGTAATGAATCTGAACATACATTTTCACATATATCTCTGATCATTTCTTTAATATATATTATTTAAAAAATTTAATTAAATTTGGGAGTATAGACATTTTTAAGTCTTTTAATAAAGAAGACAAACTGCCTTCCAGACAAAGAATTACCACAATTTGGATTTGTACAAGCTTTGCCTATTTCCCCACAATGACCACTACTAAACATTACTTTTTTTTTTTATCTTTCCTAGTCTGATAGACAAAAGAAGACTATTTCATCAAAACACTATATTTATTTGAAGTGAGACAACATATTTTCAAGTATTCATTGGCTAATTTATATTTTTCTTCTGTAAACCATTTTTCCATACTTTTTGCACACTTCTCTACAGTGGTTGACATAGTGTTCATTTTTTTTTTTTGGTATCATTAATCTACAATTACATGAGGAACATTATGTTTACTAGGCTCCTCCCTTCACCAAGTCCCCCACACATACCCCTTCACAGTCACTGTCCATCAGCATAGTAAGATGTTGTAGAGTAACTACTTGTCTTCTCTGTGTTGCACAGCCCTCCCCAGGCTTCCCCCCACATTATACATGCTAATCGTAATGCCCCCTTTCTTCCACCCACCCCTTATCCCTCTCTTCCCACCCATCCTCCCCAGTCCCTTTCCCTTTGGTAACTGTTAGTTCATTCTTGGGTTATGCGTTTCTGCTGCTGTTTTGTTCCTTCAGTTTTTTCTTTGTTCTTATACTCCACATACGAGTGAAATCATTTGGTACTTGTCTTTCTCCGCCTGGCTTATTTCACTGAGCATAGTAATAATACCCTCTAGCTCCATCCATGTTGCTACAAATGGTAGGAGTTGTTTACTTCTTATGGCTGAATAATATCCCATTGTGTATATGTACTACACATCTTTATCCATTCATATACTGATGGACATTTACGTTGCTTCCATTTCTTGGCTATTGTAAACACTGCTGTGATAAACATAGGGGTGCATCTGTCTTTTTTAAACTGGGCTGCTGTATTCTTGGGATAAATTCCTAGAAGTGGAATTTCTGGGTCAAATGGTATTTCTATTTTGAGCTTTTTTAGGAACCTCCATACTGCTTTCCACAATGGTTGAACTAATTTACATTCCCACCAGCAGTGTAGGAGGGTTCCCCTTTCTCCACAACCTAGCCAACATTTGTTGTTGTTTGTCTTTTGGATGGTGGCGATCCTTACTGGTGTGAGGTGATATCTCATTGTGGTTTTAATTTGCATTTCTCTGACGACTAGCAACATGGAGCATCTTTTCATGTCTGTTGGCCATCTGAATTTCTTCTTAGGAGAACTGTCTGTTCCGCTCTTCTGCCCATTTTTTAATTGGATTATTTGCTTTTTGTTTGTTGAGGTGTGTGAGCTCTTTATATATTTTGGTTGTCAACCATTTATTGGATCTGTCATTTATGAATATATTCTCACATACACTGTAGGGTACCTTTCTGTTCTACTGATGGTGTCCTTTGCTGTACAGAGGCTTTTCAGCTTGATATAGCCCCAGTTGTTCATTCTGGCTTTTGTTTCCCTTGCCTGGGGAGATATGTTCATGAAGAAGTCGCTAATGTTTATGTACAAGAGATTTTTGCCTATGTTTTTTTCTGAGAGTTTTATGGTGTCATGACTTACATTCAGGTCTTTGATCCATTTCAAATTTACTTTTGTGTATGGGGTTAAGACAATTCTCTTACATGTAGCTGTCCAGTTTTGCCAACCCCAACTGTTGAAGAGGCTGTCATTTCCCCATTGTATGTCCATGGCTCCTTTATCGTATATTAATTGACCATATATGTTTGGGTTAATGTCTGGAGTCTGTATTCTGTTCCACTGGTCTGTGGCTCTGTTCTTGTGCCAGTACCAAACTGTCTTGATGACTGTGGCTTTGTAGTAGAGCTTGATGTTGGGGAGCGAGATCCCCCCCACTTTGTTCTTCCTTCTCAGGATTGCTTTGGCTATTCGGGATCTTTGGTGTTTCCATATGAATTTTTGAACTATTTGTTCCAGTTCGTGGAAGAATGCTGTTGGTAATTTGATAGGGACTGCATCCAATCTGTATATTGCTTTGGGCAGGATGGCCATTTTGACGATATTAATTCTTCCTAGCCAAGAGCATGGAATGAGTTTCCATTTGTTAGTGTCCTCTTTTTTTAATAGGTATAGAAACAGTTAACAAGGTTTATCTTTATTTTATTTCAAAGGCAGATATCATATACCCATTTGTTAGTATATTCAATTCTACTGAATTGTCAATGCAATAGACTAGTATGTGTATATACAGCCAACACACTTTAAGAATATATAGGCAAAAGCTCAAATATGCTCCAAAATTATTTTTAAGTGTAGACCATAGTCACCACACTTTACCTAGTAAATTCATTTAACAGGCATATGACCTTTTTTTTCCTATTGTTGTCTTTTTATTTCTAATTTCCACAAACCAACATATCCAAGCATTAAATTAAGGAAAGCAAAACATTAATGAATCTAAAGTGATCCATTCTTTTATATATATATATATATATATCACCAGTAATCTCTTAAGTAAAAAATAAAGCCTCAAATTCCCAAATTTCTCACGATATGTTTATATATACCTTGTGAATCCTTCGAATCAAGACAGATGCAAAAAACCGTAATGTAATTCTCAGTTCATCAACAAAGGACTCATCATCTGTTACATCCCTTCAATTGAGGAGAAAAGCAAGCATTTAGAAGTTCAAAGAAATATAGAGCTTCCCTTTCTAGAAACTGAGGGAAGTCTACAACTTCCTCTTTTTTATTTAGGCTATTTTTCTTCTCTAACAAAGAATTCACTACATTTACAGAATAAAAGATAGAAATGTACAAAGAAGAAAATAAACATCTCCCATAATTCCAGTACCAAGTCTTAATCACTAATTAGCTAAACTGCATTATTTTCCTGCAGACACCCACATGTACAGTTATATATTTATTATACTAAGATTATTTTCTAAGCATCAAAGAAATTTCCAAGAAGCAAAACAAAGAATTTTGGAGAAGCAATAGAATTAAATTAATATAGATTTTAAGTTAGTTTTAAATGTTTATAGATTAATAATATAAACTAATCCTAAAAGTAAAAGAAAAAAATGTGTTCTATTTGAAAAAGAAAATAAACTGAAACTCAAATGTTTTTAAACAGAAATTTGATGACCTTCTTCTGAGGAGCTACTTTTCATTTTCCTGAAGTCTTGAGGCCCCTAGAAGAATTAGGACACCTTCCTAATCAAAGCAAGAAAGAAAAGTATGTACAACGATGATATTCTGAATTTAAACATGGTGCTTTAATAAAGCCCCTTGGTAGAATAAGGATGTAACTGTATCAACCATGCTTCTTTCTATTAACCCCAAGAAGGGGATATTACAGCAACAGTAGATATACTGAGGAGAAAATACTACTTTAACATTTAGAAATACACCCAGATTTTATGTCTGAAGACTTAATATGCAGTGGGAGTGAAGAGTCTTGACAACAGTATTCATTTGACAAAAGGCCTCACCCATCAGCTTTATTTAAATGGCAAATGCCCCATTTTTTAGATGGAATTCAACATAAAAAATTAATTTACATAGCTTTTCAGGAAAATAAGACATATAAACTGGATGTTATATTTGTTTAACATATTGTAGAGCAACTCAACTACTAGCATTATTTAATTAGAAAACTCAAAATATATTAAATCAATATAAAATTAGGATAGATGTCACTAAATATTACATATATGTCATTAGATATTATCTAAGTATATAATTAAAAATATGATGCTTATGTAAGAAAACGTGTATTTATTAAATAACCTGGACTTCTGATTTTCAAGCTAGATTTTTCTTTTTCTGATCTAAGTATTTTCTATATGCTGCAACACAGAGGGCACTTGTATACCCATAGCACATATGAAAAATAAAGTTACTTTGGAAATAAACATATTAATATTCCAGGGAAATTCTAATGAAATTATCTTTCACTTAGTGAAACATCAATATGAAATTTTCCTCTAAATGCACAGTTGTTTTCAAATTTTAAAAGTGCACAGAAAATATGCCACTTGATAAATTCTACAAATTACTTTTCATCCAAAAAGCAGCCTAGGTTATTTTCCCCTTTGCTTTCACTAAACTGTTAATTGACTACCTACATCAATGGTTTTTAACTGGAGCCAATTATGCCTCCCAAGTAACATTTGTCAATCTGAAAACATTTTTGCTCTTCACAACTAATGGGGAAGGGGTGCTACTAGCATCCACTGGGAAAAAATTAGAGGTGCTGTGAAACAACCTACAATGCATAGATACAGCCTCCTGCACCCACAACAAAGAATTATCTGGCCAAAAATGTCAATAGTGTCAAAGGGAAATCTTGGGCGATACGGAAAACATATCATTAGCATCCTTAACTTAATGGTATTCACTATACTAAAGGAAAAAGGTCTTATGGAAAGAACATACCTGTACCACGGATAAACAAAATTTTCCAACACTAATTCAAGAACCTGCATAAAAATTTTATTTAAAAAAAATCAAATTAATTACCAACTCAAGGAAAATAAACTGTACTACTAATACAGAATATTATCAAGAACCAATTTTATTATCCCAAATACTGACATCTAATATCATACTTTCTTTTGATAAAATGTATATATCCATCTTAGCTAATCGTTGCAATGACAAAGAGAACATGAGAAAACACTTTGAAACCCAGAACTCCAAAAACAGAAAAATTACTATTAAAATGACACACATTTCTAAATATTCCCATAATAAAACAAATAAAACTCAAATTATTCCTGACTATGAGCCAAAAATGTTCTACAAAAAGAAGGAAAATAATAGCCCAGTCTTTTGCGTTCCTAACTGTGGGGAAGTTGGGGTTCCAATGGCCAGGAGTCTCACTGAACTTAAACTACCTGATGATGCTGATGATGTAACTGGCCTGTTGCTAGGCTACTGCTTCCACATCTTTAGGCAATAAGCTATTATTGCACTATACAGAGAGCATGGCCCAGTACTCTGGGCGGAGGCAGAGACGCTAGTGCTCGACCTACTGCCAGGAGAACAAGCCGGGTAATAAAACCTTTCACCCCAAAGAAACATTCTACTGTCATTTCTTTGGTCACACTGAACCCACAGTGAACTTTCCGGGGGCTGAAACCCATTGGCAAGGCACTAACTCTCTCTGTAAGTCATTATATTCCCGGAATTAAATGAAGAAACAAGTCGGTAAGACTTGTATAAAGTGGCCAAAATTAGGTGTCAGTAATTTTCTTTAAAGGGAGGATTGTGGCTAGAAGGGAGCATGTGAGGGACTTCTGGGGTGCTGACAATGTTTCATTTCTTTATCTGGGTGCTGATTATATGGTTATGTTCACTTTGTGAAAATTGTAGCCGTATTACAATCAGTATATAAATTACACGTGAAAATGTAACGAAACAAAACAAAACAAATCTGGTGTTAAACCTTCCATTTCTTCAGTCTGGGTATAACCGTATGTTTTTTTTCTTGAAAGGACTTGCAGCAGAGAGCAGCAACTTTGAAAAGGACTAGGGAGCAGATGAAGCAAGTATCTAATCTGACAATATACCTAATACACCTTCTCTTGCAGCAGTAACTAAGGTTGCAAATTCTCTAAAGCAACAAGATTTGGATTTTTTACTACAAAAGCTATGCATTAGTGATACCAGCTAGGAAAATAAAATACATATGAACAGGGAAATGATACAGAAAGACTAAAAAACTTACCATTCAACATTTGGTCTTACTTTATTCCCCACATCCAATCATCAAATCCTACTGTTTTATATTCAAAGTAGCTCTTCTCTAGAGCCCCACTCTCCAGGTCCTTATCTTCTTACCCCTATATGGTAGCAAATAGCCTCTAGTGTCCCTGCTTCTAAGCTCCATTCTCCATGGAGCTGCCAAAGTGATCTAAAACATCTATTCAACCACATCATTCCCTTGCATGAAACTCTCAATATATCAAACTACACTATATCAAAGTAAGACAAGTGGAGCAACCCTGATTGTGAAGGGGCCAGAGAGAACTGTATGCCAGCAGCTGTGACCATTTACCTCCTTTTCACCTCCCACTACATCCTGTGAGTCACATCTGAAAACTCTAGTCCCTCAGTTTGAGAATCACCGGCTTCCATGATCAGTTAAACTCCTGCAGCATTGCCCTTTAAGTCTTTGGACGATCTGATCTCTACAGGGCCATATAAAAACTGGTTAAGAACTAAGCCAAACCTGAGTTTTAGACTGAGTTCTGCAATTAACCAGGTATGAACTTTGAGAAAAATCATTAAAACTCTCTCAACCCCAGTTGTAATAAAATCGTCAATAATAGCACCTACTTCATAGGGTGTGTGATTATATGAAATTACAGTGATTAGCAGAGTACCTAATATACAGTAAGTAAGTGATAAATATTAGCTACTAGAATATTGTCTCTTCATTGGCCAAATCCTGACTCACACTTTTCACTGAAACATTCCACCTTGTTTCAAAGCCTCTTTTCTTTTCAAAAGCTCTTGCTAAACACTGAAATACCCTTTCCCCACACTATCAGTCTAGCAAACTTCTAGTTATATTTCCTGACTGCCTCTCACAACAGTTACGTAGTTCTTCCTCTGTACTGACAATATTCCTTGTATATTTCTTCCATTATTGGAATTACACTACAACATAGTGTAATTGTCTATTTATGTCTACCTCCTAAACTGAAGTTCCTAGAAAAAAAAGCACCATATTTTATTTCTCTTTTTTTATTCTTTGTGCCTGGTCCAGTTCCTGCCTATAGGAAGAACTCAAAAAGTGCTTGAAATGTTATAGTGAATATTTATTGAACACCAATATGTGTCAAGCACTAGGCCAAAAGCTTTCTACAGTTAATTTTCTTCCAAAGAAATAAATGAAATAATACTCTTGCTAGAGGTCTTGTCCTCAACAGACCTCAAATCAGCACTCTCCAACAGAAATGTAGTATGGCAAACCTTCTAGTATCTACATTTGTTAAAAAGAAGCAGTTGAGATTAATTTTATGATACATTTTATTTAACCTAATATATCTAAGATATTATTTCACATGTAATCAATATAAAACATAAGATAGGACATTTTACATTCTTTTTTCCTTACTAAGTCCTCAGAATTCAGTACATATTTTACATACATAGCACATCTCCATTTGGACTAACACATTTCAGGTGTTTATTAACAGCCATATGTGACTAGTGGCTACTATATGGAACAGCACAGTCTTTAATCAAGGAATCCTGGTGATTAAAAAGGCCTTACAGAAAAAATGAAAAAGAAAAATGCCTGAAGTTTGGCATTTATGCAGCATATTTCCAGCCAAACAAGGAAATATGCTGAGAAAAAAGACAGGATTCAGATGCCTAATGCCATTCTTCAACTAATTAGCATTCAGTTTAATTCAATACCTATCAGCGGCCAGCAAGGTATCTGGTCCTGCGCTTGGTGCTGGAAACCAATGAGACCCCACATCCCCTGTCTTCAAGGACTTAACTACTTTCTCAGATCAAGAGAGAAGACAAGTCTCTAAAAGAAACAACTAAAACATATCATGTTACCAAAGAGGTATATATAAAATGTGACTGGAACAAAAATAACATGCTGTCTATTCCTACGTTATGCAGAAACAGTGAAAAGTATCCCATTCTCGGCTCTCCCCTTCCATAGTATCAAAACTGGAGTCATCATACTGTAAGATACACATTTGCCCCTAGCAGCTCAGGTCTCCTTTTGGAATTACAAAATGACTATTCCTATTGCCCTATCATAAAATGACTCTTTTTATAACAGTTAAGCAATAACTAGATAAAGGAGGGCTTTCTCTGGCTAAAATGTTCATTTAAATTAGACATGGGATCCAAAATGTTTTTAGTTTAAAATGCTGCATATTTCACAATAATCAACTACCTTGCCAAGAATTGATTAGGTGGCATATAATAAGATGCTTGGTGATTAAATTTTCCATAGGTATTTATTATCTTCTGCTCAGGTATATTTTGCAACATTAATTAAATCAGTTACCTCTGAGAGAGATGCATCAACCTTGGAAGAAATCTTCAGGTCTAGCCATGGCTGGTAGTTTTCAAGTAACAAGGCAGGTCTAAAGAAAATCATACAACTAAATTGCTTGAAATCCAAAATGTAATTGGAAGGATCAATGAATGAAAAATGTTTAACTTACCTATGTCTTTTACATTTCACTTTACCACAAACAGCACAGCTACGACCTTGAGGAAATAATTCTTGAAGTCCTAACTGCTAAAAAAGGAAAATGGGGGAGTGAGAGGAGGAAAGATGAGAGGTCATCTTTACATATCATCTTTACTAACGAGAATCAACTTTTCAAAAGCTTGTTAGTCAATATACAAATTTAGATGATGTTCTTTACTGTTGTCTGCTTTAACACTGAAACCAATCTACTTACTTGCTAAACTGCCAAAGAGAAAAAATACCTGATGAAAAGTTTTACAATACTTAAGCCAAATTTTCAAGCTTAAAATTAAAATCAATTGTTAAGCTTGTTAATTAAAAAAAAGTCAATCTATATTTGAAAAAAATACTTTACTGCAAAGATATAAAAAAAACTATTTTCTATCTCTTCAAACCCTTGAATTCAACAAGGGACAAGACATGTGATGACTAGTAAGGTTCCTGACCAAATATGGGGCACCACTTTCAGCTATGTTTCCTGCGAGTAGAAACACCAATGAACCTGAGATAAGGGATTGCATCAACTTGAAAAATTATCAAGTAAGAATTTAAGATACCTCACTAAAATAAATCCTGATCTATACAATAGGGAATTTGCCTACCAGAGATAGATCCTACAATCTCTATCAAAATTTCAGAAGTAAAAATTAGTTTGTTTAAGCAAACTGCCTAATTATTTCTCTGTTTTGTTTCTAAGGAGCAAATTCATATTTAGGAAATTACCAGGGTTAGGTAATTTAACCCAGAGTTCCCTAACTGTGTCTGTACTTCCCTGTGTCTGTACCAAAGAATTTCCTGCAAAGCTTTTAAGAAGTACTGATTACACGATCTTAACCCAGAACTATTCAATCAAAATCTGGTAATGGGGCCCAGGAATATAGTTTTTAAAGACTCCCTAGGTGATTCCAACTTTGGGAACTTCTGTTTCAATTTATTGTCCTCATAGTTAATATGTAGTTACAAGACATTCTCATTTGTGAATCCCAACTTTCTAAGAATTTTGTGTTTTCTCTTTATAGCTCCTCCTAGGAGGCCTATATACCTTAAAAATATACACGTGTAAATTTCCCTCTGAAAATACTCTGATCTGTTCCATCATTAAATAATAGCCAATGCATTTTTTTAAATCACTGCTTTCACATGCTTTCAATAGAGATATCAAACAGCATAGGGTCATATATTATGACTCTTAAAAATAAGAACATAAAATTTTACCTTGGGTTTGTATTTCATTGTGAAGAATATATTTGGTAAGAGAGAATCAGGTCCTAATGAGCAGTAGAATGTGACAACCCCAGCAACAAATGACCAGAAGATCATTAAAACATGAAGATACCTTAGAAATAAATGAAAATTATCAGAACCAAAAAAAGTGTAACACTTAAGTTGTCCCTTTATTGTTTTAATGTGCATCAATTAAGTATCTACCATATCAGAATTAAGCAATTTCTCTAATCATGAGTTTCTGTAATGTATTTATTAATTGTAAGAATCACAGAATGTATGCTATGAAATGTATATTTCATTTAAGATATAAGGAAGTATAATTTCTCAATGTATCATAATTTGGTACCTCGACTGTCATGTTTAACTAGCCTATATACTACATTCTTCAAGAATACCTTCTACTGATATTATAATATTCATACCACAACAAAATTCTGATTATTTTTCATTAAATTAAAAAATTTACTCAGTGTCTGTTTTGTGCTACATAGTACTAGGCTCTGGAGATACACAGCCATGGTTCGTATTGCAAAGAAAACAGTCTTGAACTAAAAACCATATGATGACCCTTAAGTGAAACAGGTAATGCTGCGAGTAAAGGGTGAAGTTTGCATGATCAGAACTTCTAGAAAATTAGAGAAGCTCTAAAACAGCTGTTGGAGAGAAGCAGAGAAGGGTAGCAGAGAAGGGTATTCTGGGAACTGCTGGGCAGTACTGAAGCTGAAGAGTTAAATTAACCGATGGGTTTTTTTTCTCTAGCAGGATTCAGTAACCAGTATACAAACACCAAAAAAAGTAAGCAGCAACACTTATCCACTATTTGGATTTTGTCAGGTGAGTGGAATTGAAGGAAAAGGAGTTAAGGATAGTGGCAACAGAGTGGCTGAAGTGACGGACCATGTGATCTAAGCTAGAGTAACTCTAAACTACACAGAAAGTACATGACAGCAGAAGAGGGTCAGTGGGTAGGAAGAAAGCAGGGGAATCAGGAGGCTCAGAAGTCAAGAAACAGGTGTGACTGAATGAGAGAAGTAGACAATGGTCAGCAAGTTGGACATATGATTTTTAAGATTTCAGAGGGAGAGCTCTTTCTGATGATAAGGGCCACCATATAGTGAATCCAAGTAAGAGGCTGAAGAGGAATCACCTTGAGATAGACTAGAGTATTCAATGAGTTACTCACACAAACACTGAAGTCACCTAGAATAATGGCAGAATTTAAAATGGAGATAAAATCTATAAGCCAGAAGCCAAAGTCTTCTATAAATGAGTACCAATGACCTAGAGATTGATATCAGTGAGAAAACAGACAGATGGCATATATTTCAAAGGAATAAGGGACTTGTGCTTGACAAAGTAACTGGTACTAGACTTGCCTTCCCACCATAAACAACTATAAAACTGGACAGAACATAATCAGCAGCACCTGTTTCCAGGCATTAGACAACAGGCAGTACAGGACTGTAATCTTTAAGGAAAGAAGTTTGAGTTTCATCTCTCTGACTGCATACAATTTTCAAAGTGCAGCATGGAATAGAAAGGGTTACAGAATATACTGTAAAGACCAGGAAGTTCAGAATTGGGGAAAACAGCACCAAGTAGTAAGAAGAGGTGAAGATGATTAGAGGTGCTTACATTTAGGAGACAGTAACCAAGTACAAAAGCCATGAGACAAAGACTGAGCCACCCAAACAGATGAAATCGCCTGTTCTCCAGGTTCTCAGGGCAAGCTATACTTACAAAACATTCACAGAAAACCTATTATTAAATGCTCTCACTAAGCACTTAAAACATAAACATGGTTACCACCACTCAAAAAACTGCTATGGCTTAACATTTCCTGCACAGTGAAATAGAAACCCCTTAAACCTTTATGGTTCCGTTCAATCTGGCCCCAACTCACTTTCCACCCTTATCCCATTCCTTTATACAAAGCTTTACTCTAACCAGAATAGCACACTTGAGTTCAAGCTTTAAAAACAACCCTATGTCTGGAAACTAACTGAAGTTATAGAGCTATTCAGAGAAAAAAATCATGAAATTCATTTCCATAGCCACTTACTGAAAATCATTCTAAGCCTGACAATATGACTCAGAATTCAGAATGTTTAGAATTCTTGAACAGTTATATAGTATATATTTCATATATAATTTCACACCCTCAGTGAGGTCTGAGGTAGTATTCTAAAGTCAGATGTTAATATTTATGCAGCAAAACATATAAACAATAAAAAATAAGTAAGTCAGAAATAAACAGTCCCATATATGCTCAGGGTCAAATTTTGTCATCACATAATTAGTGCCAAGTTAGAGAAAGGGTAACTTCTTCAGAGCTTTTTTATTTCAGAATTATACTTTAGGACTTGTAGACCTGTCCTTAGGCTAATGACAATAAATACTACACACAATATGTCTGGGCTATATAACTAAGGCAAGAAATAACTAAGGCGTGATTTAAGAAGGAAATCATAACTTTAAATACATTAACCCTGTGATTAACCCTGTGGTCCTCCACCAACTTCACCCCCCAGGGGACAGCTGGCACTACAAAGAGACATTTCTGATTGTCACAACTGTGAGGAGGAGGAAGGGAGAAGTGCACCACTGACATCAAGTGGCTAGAGGCCAAGGCAACTGCTATCCTACAAAGCACAGGACAGAATTATCAACCTATATTTCAGTAGGGCTGGGGCTGAGAAACCCTGCATTAATCAGAGACAAAAAAATTCTGAAAACCAAAACCAACAAGCCAAGAATTCAGAAAGTTGAAGGAAAAAAACAGCAAATCCAAATACATAAAAAGGAAGGAAACTGTAGAGAGAACAGAAATCAAGAGACAACAATGACAAGAGAAAAATCACAAAATAGAAGCTGGTACTCTGGAAAAATTAATAAAATAAGCAAACCACTAGCTGGATACTAGAATGTACCGATTATTACTCTAAAAACTGATAAATAAGAGAAAAGTAAACTTTCTCCTATTTTTCAAACTTGTGCTGTATAGGCTTACCTCATTTTATTACATTTCACGTTATTGTGCTTAGCAGATACCGCATTTTTTTACAAATTGAAGGTTTGAGGCAACCTTGCACTTAGCAAGTATATGGGTGTCATTTTTCCAACAGCATTTGTTTGCTTTGTGTGTCTCTGTCATATTTTGTTAATTCTCAAAAAAATTCAAACTTTTTCATTATTAATGTATTTGTTATGGTCATCAGTAATTTCTTGAGACGGAATCTTCTGGTGAAGATTATTGTGATGACAACGGAAGATTTAGAATATTACATAAACTTAGTTATAAAGTAGCAGCAAGGTTTGCAAGGATTAAATCCAATTTTGAAAGAAGTTCTACTGTGCGCAAAATGCTATCAAACACCATCGTATACTACAGAGAAATCATTCATGAAAGGAAGAGTCAATCAGTGCAACCAACTTCATTGTCTTATTTTAAGAAATTGTCCTGGCCACCCCAACCTTCAGCATCCACTGCCCTGATAAGTCAACAGCCATCAACAGAGGCAGGACCCTCACCAGGAAAAAGATTACTACCTGAAAGCGTAGAAGATGGTTAGCAGTTTTTATCAATAAAATATTTTTTAATTAAAGTATGTTTTTTTTAGACATAATAGTATTGCACACTTAAAAGACTACACTGTAAGTAGTGTAAACGTAACTTTTATATGCACTGGGAAAAAAAAAATTCACTGACTTGCTTTACTGCAATGCTTTGGAACCAAACCTTCAGTATCTCCAAGGTATACCTGTACTTTACGGTAACTAAATAGATCTAATGGATGATATAAAGCAATTCTACAAAATACTGAATAATTAATTAGAATTAAAAAATATAGAAGATGAAAGAATGAGCAAATCATCATACAACCTATAATGAAGCAACTGATTCATACAGTAAATAAATGGTCAAACCAGAGAGAAAGTTTGTTGGGGAAGATAACAGCTATTATTATCTAAATCCACAAAAAGTGAGGTAACCCCACCTTATATGAAGTTATCCTCTATGTGATATAATAGGATGTACAGAGCATTACTGCAATATACTTGCACCCCCCCCAAAAAAATCTGAAACTAACTAAGCCTATAAATCATATAGATTTATGAAGGTAAGGATAAAAGACAGCATGAGGAAAGCATCAACAAATGTGTGAACTAACAAACCACTTTCTTCAACAAGTCAATGTCAAGGGGGAAAAAAACAAGTAAGGAGAAATGTTCTAGATCAGGGTTGAGACACTATGGCTTGTGGGAAAAATGCCACCTGTTTTGGTATGGCCCTTAAGCTTCAAAAGGTTTTTACAGATTTAAAGGGCTCTTTAAAAAAAGAAAAGAATATGGAAATGAATAGAAAAAAGATGGCAGAGTAGGAGGGCAAGGCAGAAACCAACTCCCACACACACACCAAGGAATCAACTACAGCAAATTCAACTAAGCCAGAAAACAACCTGAAGACTGCAAAACAGACTGCCTACACCTGGCAAAGAAGAGAAGACCACACAGAGAAGGGTAAAGTGGTAGAGCCATAATCAATCAGACACCAGTCCTTTTCCCATCCCAGCCTACAGGCTAGAGGAAGAGAATGGAGCAGGGAGGGGAACAGGTGTTCAGGAACATACACCTGGCCCCAGGGATCTGCTCTGGGAACACAAGTTCACACTGCCATGGGTTCTGGTGTCAGCAGGGCTGGACACTGGGGAGAGCTGGAGCATTCCGTGAGGCTGATGTTTTTGCCACTCATGGTGGACAGGCACACTCTGCAGGTCTGCTAAGACCCAAAGCAGAGGTGGCAGCTTGAAAGATTTGCCAACAGCAGGAGGGGTGCCAGAGGTGCAAGGGTTGGACAGTACTCTATTTGCAGGAGAAAGGGCAGGTGGCCAACACTTCCCCAGCCCTCCATCAGCACCACAAGTTATGCACTCTCAGGAGCCCCAAATGCTCCATTGCCCTCACAGGCAGCTCAGCCCTGAGATGTTTCACTGCAAATTCAGCCCAGCAGTGACAGACTTTGCTAACCAGTAGGCAGAGAAAAGCTTTCCCAGCTTTCTAAGCACTGTCTCAGCCCAATTAGAGAGGTGTCAGCAGGAGCCAGCCACA